GTGTACCGTCAAATCAGATCTGACTGGTATAGGAGGAGATTGCCCCTCTTTCTCCAGCAGAGCATCTGGTGGGTTCAAACTGCATACCTCTAGGATTACAGTGCAGCTTTTTACCACTAGGCCACTAGAGCTCCCAGAACAAATTTTTTTTAAAAAAAGAAAGACATGTAATGCATGGGAACGACTGTATGAAACTCAATGTGAAAGAAGAATAGTGTGAAACACAATGTATACAAATTTTGTAAGCAAACCAACATAAAAGAAATTTTAAAATAACCCCCACACATCAATCAACAAACAAAAAATGTTCATTAGCATCTTCCGCAAAACGCAATAAGGTGGGGCGCAACAAAAAGAGGTGTGTGTGTGTGCCTTTATAAATTTACAATATGAATCCTCTTATAGAACAAACTCCAGTTGAGAAAATTAACAGGCACACCCAACCACATACGTGTATGTATTTAAGTTCAATTATGCAAGCAAAAAAAGAAAGGGTTTAAAGCAACAAATGAGGGGGGCCTGGCTGAGGCTGAGGGTTGTGCGTGCTGCTTCTGAGTTCTTCCTCCTGTTGGGATTTACGTCTATTTGGAACAAGCAGCATCTGCAATCCTGTCTGCACAGCTCCGAGAGGGAGCAGGGGAAGCAGCGTGACTAGCACTCACGATCAGCTCCCGGTACTTCTTCTTCAGGGCCTGGTGCTGTTCCCTCAGCTGGTTGGCCATGAGTTTGTACTGGTCTCGTTCCTGCTGGCAGGTGTCCAGCTCCTTGGAAAGGATCAGCAGGGCTTCCTTCTTACTCTCCAGCTTCCTCTTACACACCAGGTACTGCAGAGCAAACAGATCAGAGCCGCCGGTCAGCACGTCCGCCCCTGCACACACCGGGTACTGAACACGCCCTGAGGATTCTGTTGCCTAAATGTTTTTAGAGACCCTCCAGTCAGTTATGTTTGTCGGTAAGTGACACCACATATACCAAGGTGTCCACAGCACATATGAATTCATGAACTTTGATAAACTGAGACAGGTAAAATGATTCTATTGGAAAATACAAAAGCAGAATGTCAAAGTGCCTGTGTGCACACCATACATATTGCTGCTGTTGTTGTTGTTATGTGCCATCAAGTTGCTTGCTACTCATAGTGATCCTCTGTAAACAGCTCTGAAACCTGCTCTATCTTGAGCCAATATCATTGTTTCTGACATACCTACCCCCATTACCCAAGCAACTGAGTCAATCTAGCTCATCCAGGATCTTCATCTCTTGCACTGTCCCTCCACCCTTCCAAGCATGATGTCCCTCTCCAAGGACTGGTCCCTCCTTGCAACATGTCCATGGTATGTGAAACAGAGCTTCAGAATCCTTACCTCCAAGGAGAAGCCTGGTTTCACCCTCTCCAGGACAGACCCGTTTGTTCTCTTAGCAGTCCATTGTATATTCAATGTTCTTCTCCAGCAACACATCTCAAATATTTCTCTTAGCCTTAGTCTATATGCTCTCTGATGCATCAAATAATTGCAAAGACCTTGGCCTGGGTGGAGCTTGTGAACCTTTTCTATAGAATGACATCACTGCTTTTCTGGAGAACTCTTCTGGAGAGGTCTCTGACAACAAATTTTTCAATACAATGTGTCTTAATTTCCTGGCTGCTGGTACCAAGAGTGTTGATTATGGAGCCAAGCAAACTAATGATGTTAAAAATCTCAATCACTTCTCTATCTATTGTTGGTAAGTGCCACTGAGTTGACCATGACTCATAGAAACCTTATGCACAATAGCTCTGATCCATGACCAACTCTCCAGGAAATAGTCTGCCCATCCTTCTCCCACAAAGCAGCTGATAGATTCGAACCATATGCCTTTGGGATTGCAGCACAGCTTCTTATGACTAATCCAATAAATGTTGGGGGTATTTATATATGTACGTGCGTGTGTGTGTGTGTGTGTGTGTGTGTGTGTGTGTGTGTATCTCATACTTCAGACATGTTGCTGTTGCTAAGAGAGGCTATTCTTAAAAAGGGACATCATGCTTGGAAAAGTGAAGAGTGGTCA